GCTGCTTTGCCGACTACTTCATAGAATGATTTTGCTTGTTGTTCCGCTATGTTTTCGGCAACATCATTGATTTTATTGAATACAATCTCGTCGTTCATTTTCTCAAATTCCGACGTATTAACTTCCAATTTGGCTGTGGCTAATTTTGGATCCATTTCTTCAACTGAACCATCTTCTCGGATAAGAATGGTTTTGTTGCCTTCAAAAACCAGTGATACAGGAACATTGGCAACTGGTCCTAAATGTGTCAAATGATCTTGATTAAAGACATAATAAAGCATCAGTTCCAATTTTTCTTTGACTTTGAGAAAATCTGGTAACCGATTCTAGCACCTTTCCATATCCTGTAATGTGTGACGAATTTTGTGTCAATCCAAATGTGCAGTTATCTCACGCAGGCCGGGTTACTATAATCCGCGCCGATTCTACACTCACATAAACGATACGCTTAATTGCCGTGACTAAATCGCGTGGGTCAGCAAACCAACCGTTCAGGGAATTGACAATACCACTGCCCTGGTCTGTTTTAATGTAATACAATAGTTTGGAGAATTTGCTGTAGCATAGGCTGTTGGTCTCCTGTGCCGATGTTCGATAACCACCGTTATTTTTCGCTAAGTTCCGTGATGTGTGAAACTCGTATGAAAAACGGACAAAAACTGTCCAAACTATTGTATTACCACGCCGATTAGAAAAATTCAACTTTTCCTATGCTGTCCAATTGATGATTTCACAGTCTGAACCTCTGTGTCCGTTAGTCTATACAAGTCATAGACTCGCTTATCAATCCTTCTTTCGATCCTTCGTTCTTCTACGAACAATTAGCCGACGGATTTTCCACTTCGCCCGCTGCCTATGATCCGTTTTGCGAGATCAACAATAGGTTGCTGTCTTCTGGTGTTACAATAGGTATAGGGATTTTGCCGACATAATAGTTGTCGAAATTCATTGTTCTCACAGCACCACAGAAAACGAACTTATAAACATACCAATTTATCAAGGATGAATTCAGGATAGCTGAAATAAAAATCGGGGTAAAGTTTTCATCGGTGAGGACAGTATTTACGACAGTAGCTAGACTCAAAATATCGCCTGTTTGATCAACTGTTGCAATAATTTTGATATGTGGCTTAGGATTCTGAAGATGTGCTATCATCTTCTGTGACATCACCTTCGGTTGTCGCAAAAATTGATCTGTGCCATTACCTGTGTCACCATCTGTGTCATTAGAGGAATCCAAATCTTCGGAATTTATAAAACCTTCAACACCATCTATCCCGTAACGATTTATGTTCCTTCCTTCAACGACAGGAATGTCACCAACGGTTTTTAGCAATTTTCGTGATGGCAAACCTCGCTTTGTTTTGGAAACGTCCCGCATAAACATCCCGATTTGGCTTAGCTTTAAACCGAGTTGAATCTCCTCAGCGGAGACATCACATATCCACGCTTGAAACTGCTTCGTATGTGGGTGTAGCGCAGATTGTGGGTCTTTCTAACCCACGTCTCATCAATAAATTTACGCGCTGTATAAAAATTTTCCGTGTAACAGGTATCGTAGACAAAAATCGCCTGCTCCAGTTTAACATTTTTGGAAGAGGCTTCAACATCGACCAGAACCCGTGTTTTTCCCAACAGTGCGAACAACAAACTATGCCAATTTTCAACGAATAACAGGGATTTTGGTACGATAAAAGCAAGCACGCCATCTGATTTCATCAAACGATTCTTAGCAGTATCTATGAAAAACGCAGCACTGGTCCAATTTCTCGTTTCTTTTGCTTGTGTTTTAGCCATTTTTTCTCGCTTGAGTCAAGTTCCGCACCATACGGTGGATTGCCAACAATTGCGTCAAAGCCTGAATTTTCGAGTCCATTTCCAAATTCGTCACGAAATACTTCCGGAAATTCAATCTCCCAATGAAAATAACGATAGTGTTCTGCTAACCTTTGTGCTTCCCGATAACTTGATAAACTGGTAGAGATATTTACATTTGTCTGCCGAGATCCCAATGCTTTGAGTGCATTGTGATAATTATTGCGTGCAACGTTATTTCCAAAATGAACACTCAACCAGATATCCGCAATTTCTTTGTGCTTGCTCAAAGTTTGCTGTGCCTGCTCTAATTCCTGCTCCATCACATGGATATCACCCGCAGTTTGACTCTCCATCTTCTCAATAACAAGGTAATGTCCGACTGCTTCCGAGACGGTATCGGTAAATCCAAAATCCATCTTAAGTGTGGTTGAGTTGCTTCGTCAGTACGACGGGATTTCTTCAGGACCGGTAGGTTGGCAAGATCTGCAATGTTTGCACCAATAAGCGAGTTTCCACATTGGATATGGTGATCTAAAAACGAAAGCGGTTTACCTTTCGCTACTGTGTGGAGCCAGAGGGCTACTTTTGCTAATTCCACCGCCATTGGGTTGATGTCCACGCCATAGATGCAGTTTTCAACAACATGTCTACGCCAATATGCAATTTCTGTGTCGGTGTCCCCAGTCGTCATAGGTGGAGCATTGGGATGTGTCGCAAGTTCTAAAGCTAGATGATCAATAACACCAACAAGGAAATGACCCACTGCCCATCGCTGGATCCAGCACTTAAGCCGAAGGATCTCCTCAAAAGTTTTGCGTTCACAAAGTGAGCTAGCGTGTTTTCAACCATTGAACGCACAATTGCATCGGAGGTGTAATAACTCCCGCTTGCCTTCTTTTTGCTTTTGTCTTTTGTTAACTGAACTCTTTCAGAAGAACTTTGCACAGTCGGTTCATATTCAAGCAGTCCTTCATAGATATTGCCCAAGTGCTGAATTGCCAAATCTTGGTAAGTGATACGTTCTCGGTTGGTTGTTCTGGTGGTTAATATATTGATGACCTTGGCAAGCACATCGTTGCTGATTTTTTTCTCTTTCAGAAATCCGTGGCGTGTTACGTTGAAGAGCCCCCCGTTATACTGTGGGATATGCTCTGCCCATCCTTTGTCAATTAGATCAAACAGGTTTTGGAGACGGGTCCAATAATCACTTCGGAACTCAGGAATGGTAGAATTTTTATCTAATTTGCTATGTATATCAGTGGCAAGCATTTCCAGACTGTATTCGGACTTATATTCCGCATTTTCAAGCGGTAGCAGTCCACGACTTTCGGCGTATAGAATAAACAACAAGCGATAAAGCAAGATTAGGCAATTTTCATGGATCGTATCCATATCAGAAGTGGTCAAGTTATTATCAGAATAGGTTAGAAATCCGTTGATAAGTTCCTCCAATGCCAAATATATCTTGTCCCCGAGATCATCCGACACTGAGATGGTATAGTGGACACTGCCTGACAACACATCATCCAGAAAAGATTGATTAGAGGTATCCGGTGCGAACGCATCGCTCCGAAAAAAATAGTAAAAATAACGAAACGCTTCTGTATCCTCATTGATCAGTATCTTTTCAAGGTCAACTTCATAAAAACAATCTAATTTATAACTCGTATCGCGGTGATAAAGGCGCCATAATTTCCCGTTGGTGAGAATTCCCCACGTGAGCTCTGAGGTACGAATATAGAAATCAATTTGGTAGTTAGGATTGCTATTAGAAAACGGATCCCCTGAGCCATCTAGTTTTCTGTCGAGCTCCTGTCCCCATGCTTTGGCATCACCAATAGCAATTGCCGTGTTAAAGAAAGCGTTGGTATTAATCTGCATATGTGCTTGGGCCAATGCCTCTTGCCCAGCAAAAAAGGCATAATCCGGCTGCTTTGTGCCTTGTGATGTGCGTAGCACCGGTTGCACTCCAAAAGTGTGTCCAAGGATTTTCTGGACAGGACGGATAAATTTTTCTTCTGTTTGTGGTTCATTCAGATTATCAGCAAATTCAGCAATGGAAGCATAGCGTTGTTTAATCTGCTCATACGTCGATTCCAATTCATCCGATGTCTGATCCATTATTATTTTTTCGAGATGATAAGTAGAAAAAAGTCCCTTATTATTGTAAGTTGATTCTGCCATCTCTATTGTACCTTCATTTTCAATTTACTATTTAGGAACGCAAGTTGCCACCTATTTACTCACATAGCACTCCGCTGGAGTGCAGGACGTTGATATACCTTTTTCTATAGACATATCACCCCTCTGGGGTGGAGAAAGGGCCTGAAAACCGTGTTGAAACGCCCAAAATCCGTTAGTAGCAACTTGGGTTATTTAGTAGGTTGGGTTTTACTGCGTTCAACCCAACCTATAGACTGTAATTTGCGCGATCCGGCTCACTCCTTAAATGAAGCAGTGACCCGGGGGATACTCTCTTCACAGGCGAACCGTTCGATACTGGAAGCCCCGACGAAACCGACGGTGTCCGTCTTCTCGTTGATAAATGCCGCTTCCGGTGCCTTTGAGATGGGACCGCCGTGCGCGAGGCAGAGAACATCTGGATTCACCGATTGTGCGGCGTCGCAGATCTCTTGGCACCGGCACTGCCGCGCCCTCAAGTGTGAAAGCGGTTTCCGCACCGATAGTGCCGCCTATTGTGGTGCCCATGTGCGCGATGATAACATCTGCACCGACTTTTGCCATGTTCTCAGATCTTCAGGATTGAAGACGTAGACGATTGTGAAAAGATCCATCTCGTGTGCGATGCCGATCGTCTCGACTTCTTTGTAGAAACCCCATCCTGTTTCTTCGAGTGTTAACCGAAAGGTGCCATCAATCACACCGACGGTGGGAAGTTATTAACGCCGTCAAAGCCGACATCGCGGACCTGTTTGAGGAAGTTGCTCATCCGGCGCGTCGGGTCTGTGCCGTTGACCCCAGCGATAACGGGTGTCTCTTTGACGACAGGTAACACCTCGCGTTCGCCCATCTCCATGACGATGGCATTCGCATCACCGTAAGCCAACAATCCTGCGCAGGAGCCAAAGCCTGACATCCTGTAGCGACCGGAGTTGTAAATTACGATTAGGTCTGCGCCTCCCTGCTCGGCAAATTTCGCTGTGATGCCTGTTCCGGCACCGACAGCAAGCAAATGTTTTCCTCGATCCAATCTGTCTTCAGTCGTCCTAAAACTTCATCTCGTCTATAATCTGGCATTCAGTTTCCTTTCTTAACAGTTATCGGTTATCAGTTATCAGTAGTCGGTAAGAAGTTTCTGATTAATCAGACCTCTCTTTACTGACTGCTGATAACTGACGACTGATGGCTATTCGTCTTTGGGTTTCGCTTGTAAACGTGCGGCTTCGCCCGGGTTCCCGATGTGCATCGTATTGTACGCCTGTTCGGAGGTCTTGAATGGACCGATCCCTTTATGCCCGTGCCAGTCGCCCTGCGTCATGATCGGGTTCGTCAGCCCTGTCTCCTGTTCTCGTTGGAGGATCCAGCTTTTCATGCGTGTTTCGAGAACATTGACGATGTCAGGGTGTTTGTCAGCGAGGTTGTTGTTCTCATCGGGGTCTTGGATGAGGTTGTAGAGTTCAACAGGGGGCTTGAAATGGAAGTCGGGTTCAAGCGCGACGATGAGTTTCCATTCAGGAGTCCGCCAACCGTGCTTGCGCATCCACGTGCATTCCGTGATATAGAACTCACTATCGTAAGAAGTTATCTCGCCGCTGATCAACGCGGTAAGGCTTTTGCCATCAAAATCAATGTCGGTTTCAATGTCCGCTAATTCGAGGAGCGTCGGTACGAGGTCTTTGTGTTGGTTATATCCTGAGACCCGTTCTCCAGCAGGTACACGACCTGGATAGCGGATAATAAGCGGTACGTGCAAGGTGACATCGTAAATTCCATGGTGGTCGAACCAGCACTCATGGTCATAGAGGGTTTCACCGTGATCGCCGTTGAGAACGATGATGGTCTCATCCATCACACCACGTGCTTCAAGGGCATTGAAAAGCCTCTGAATACACGCATCCATGTAAGCGATCGCGCCGTCGTATTGCGCGATGACGTAATCCTTGTCGGTAAATTCCTTGTGGCATCCAAGAGGCGAAATAGTCGCAAAACGGTTTAAACGCCATCACCGGTTCCATAGATTTGTTACTCGGATCGCACTCATCACCGTGATAGAACATCCGTTCATAAGGTGCAGGTGGTAGGTAAGGGGAGTGCGGATCCATGTGACGCAAGAACAGGAAAAACGGTTTTTCGTCGCTCTGGTCGATCAACCGATTCAGTTCTGGGATGGTCGTTTTGTTGAGGTTTTCCGCTTTTGGGCTACGTCCGGTTTCGTCGGGACCCCATCCAGAAAAATCAAGATAGGTATCAAACCCACGCCCACTCGGTTCGCCGAATCCGACGCAAGTCGTATCGTAGCCAGCGTCACGGAGGATTTCTGCCAATGTTTTAACCCCTTCATGAAGTGGTCCTCGGTGACGTAACGCGACCACTTGTGTGCTGAACGTATCTAATCCGGTCAGCATAGAGGCATAAGCACTCGTTGTTGGAACGTGCGGACTGTAGGTTTTCTCAAAGAGGGTTCCACCCTCAGCAAACCGATCAATATGTGGAGTTGTCAGTCGGTGATACCCGTAACAACTCATGTGTGTTGCGAGGAGCGAGTCAACTCCCATTAGGACGATATTTGGCTGTTTCGCCATATTTCGATTCTCCTTTTTAATGGTTATCATACCAAATCTGAAAATAAATTCGCATTTCAGAGATTTTGAAACTCTATGAGGTTTCCGCATGTAAGAGGCGCAATGAATTGCGCCACTACGAACCGGTTTTCGTTAATGAGAAACGGTTATTCAGAAATGGTATTAGTTATCAGCTATGAGGGATTTAGGTTCACACAGCATCTTTCACAATGCACGCCTATTGTGTTTCCCAATCCTTATGCCAGACAAGTGTATTCTGGGTGTTATTGTCAAGTACATCGCCAATTTCGAGCGAACTAAAATAGGGTTCAGGCAAGATGTTTTTCTTTCCGTTGAAGGTGCATCCATCAGGCATAAAACCACACGTCATCGCTCGGCGATACGAGAATGTCATGTTCGCGCCTGCACCGTGTGCTGTTAACCCGTTGTGCCATACCATAGAACCTGCTGGGCAGGGTGCAGATTGCGGTTCAAATTCCTTCCATTCCGGGTACACGTTAAACAGTGCACCTATGTTTTCACCGATGCCGACGTTATCCAAGCGTGCTGTTTTATGGGTACTGGGTAGGTACCACATACAGCCGTTCGCGAGGGTAGCATCGTCCAACGCGACCCAGAACGAAACCGCGTCCCGTGAGTCAAATGACCAGTAGGGGACATCGAGGTGCCATGCTGTGGGATTCCCGGACGGCGGCTTAATCAGTGCTTGGTCGTGCCATATACGCATCCCGTCAACACCTGCGAGTTGTGTTGCCATCTTTCCGATTTTTGGGTCGTGTACGAGTTTCCGCATGCCTGTGTGTGAATCTGCCAAGCGGAGGCATTGCGTAAAGACCCGCGCATAAAAGTTAGATGGATCCAACTGGTTTGTCATGTGTTCAAGGGAGGTGCCGAGGCGTTCTTCGACAGATTCATCGGTGCATCGCCGCCATTCTTCGAGTTCGTCGGTATCAAGGAAGTTCTCAATGACGAGAAATCCGTTTTCCTGATAAAAATCAATTTGTTCTGTGGTGAGTTCGTGTTGCATTTTCCACGTTCTGTTCCTTCAAAACTGGATATATCTACACCAAAGCAGACATATCTTGTTTTAGTGTTCCTGCTTCAACGTCCACTGCCTCCAAACGAGGTCTTACACGGACTCCGTCAGGCGTTTAGACTCTCCACCGAACCGATGGCGAGGGTTCTTAGATTGATAGCAGCATTGACATCACGATCTGCTATGAAACCGCAAGCTTCGCAGTGATACTCTCTCTCTGCTAACGATAATGCTTCTTTCTTATGTCCGCAGTGGCTACACGTTTTACTTGAAGCAAAAAACTGCGGTGCCTCTACGACTTTCACGCCAAGTGTCTCTGCCTTGCTCTCAGGGGCATTTAGTTTTAAACAAATTCTCGGATTGTCTAAATTTTTGGATCCTCTTTTTCAAGTCCGGCGCGGTTCCAAACCGCGCCTACCGGGCCTGGGGTGTCCAAAATCGGGCTAAAAACCGAAAACTAAATAGCCCTGATACGTTTGCCTTTGACCTTCGCACCTTCAACCGTGTATGACTGGCGCTGGGAACGTTTTTTATACTTCGGGAACTGGTTTTGTCCCGACTTCCAGCGTTCAATAGCATCTCCGAGATGGATAATCCCATACACCGCAGCGTGCTGATCCTGTGCCTTGCACCAGTCAAACTTCTCGTATTTCACAGCATTGAAACGGTTATTCAACTCTATACGCGAACGCCATTCTTCCTGAGACAGACCGTCCTTGAAGTCCGAGAGGGCATAGTTATATGCGAATCTCGCATAACCGCATTGTTGCGAAAACCATGCGCTATGCTTATCCGTCGCTCGCAATGCTATTTTGTGTGGTAGTAATGCCATTGGGGTTTTCGTATCCGATGCTTTTACCGCTTCTCAGAGTCGGTTAGCAAGGAGACCGCGCTCACATGCAGGAGAGATGTCCTCGCCATATAGTCATATAAATAGACTCTATTCCAATTGAAATGTCATGAAAAACATAGAATTATTTAGAATTTGAGCGTTCTAGCAACTGCTCCTGTTAGCTGCCGATTGTGTCACATCGCTGTTTTTCATACCCATAGTATACACCAGTTTGTTGAAAAATGGCAACCTTTTTTCGTAGAAGCATTCAGTTTTCCGGTAATTTTAATTTACCGATCGTAGGCTCTTTCTTGTAGAAGCAATTTCTGTGTTGCTATTTCACTGATCGCTGAGAACAGACTGCTTTTGGATAAATTCGCAGAAGCAGCAAAAGAGTCGCGAATCGGAGTTCGCTCCTACAGCAAAAGAGTCGCGAATCGGAGTTCGCTCCTACAGCAAAAGAGTCGCGAATCGGAGAGTCGCGAATCGGAGTTCGCTCCTACAGGGAAGAGTCGCGAATCGGAGTTCGCTCCTACAGGGAAGAGTCGCGAATCGGAGTTCGCTCCTACAGGGAAGAGTCGCGAATCGGAGTTCGCTCCTACAGCAAAAGAGTCGCGAATCGGAGTTCGCTCCTACAGCAAAAGAGTCGCGAATCGGAGTTCGCTCCTACAGGGAGGAGTCTCTTAGGCAAATGGCAATTAAGGGAGAACTGACTGCCTTTGGATAAATTTGTTTTAAATCCTTGAATTGTAATATGCAACTGTGGTATAATGTTTTTAGGACTTACGAAGCAACTGCGTAAGTTCTCGTTTTATAATGTTGTAAAGAATATAAATCATTGTCATTAGCCTATAAGAATTCACTCCATATAACGATTACGAGGAAATCCCGTGAATTGTGAAATGAGCGAAACCCGAATGCGAATCCTGCAATTGCTGAAAATGCGCGCTAGCATGACTGTCGGTCAACTGACAGATGCCTTGCATATCAGTCAGATGGGAGTCCGACAACACCTCGCTATACTTGAAGCAGAGGGATTGGTTGAACACTACCAAGAAAAGCGGGGCCGTGGTCGCCCGCCGCACGTTTATCAATTAACAGATGAAGCGAATGGTCTCTTTCCGACGACTTATGCTAACTTTGCTGTTGGGTTGATGCATGAGGTGGCAAAGTTTAACGGTCCCGGTTTCATCAACAAAGTCTTCCGTGAGCGTATGAAGGCGCAATTGGAGACGTATCAATTACGGCTTGAAGGCAAAACGTTGGGTGAGCGCGTCAAGGAACTTGCGCGTATCCGTGATGAAGAGGGATACATGGCACGCTTCGACGAGAATGAGGACGACTACGCCTTAATCGAACATAACTGTCCTATCGCGGTCATTGCGCAAGAATATCCACACGTCTGCGAGATTGAATTGGCACTTTTCCGTCAATCCTTAGGTGTGAAGATTGTTCGAGAAGAGCATCTTATGCAAGGAAGCCATAGATGTTGTTATCGGATCCCTAAACCCACTGAATAGTCGCTTAGGTGCGAGAGTGCCGCACGATTTTCAAGGATAACCGTAGAATGGCTCGTGAAACAGGGAGACGTGGCTTTTTCAAGGAAGCCCTGAATCAACTCATGCAACCGGTCGCCGAATTTCTGGATGACACGGTAAGTGAGCATGTGCCTGTTGAAACACCGAGTAGAGGCAATCTCTTGCGTCCGCCTGGCGCGTTGCCTGAAGCGGAATTCTTGGAGAAGTGTCATCGGTGTGGTAACTGCGTCAAAAACTGTCCCGCAAATGCGATTTTCCCTTTGGAAAGTGCGCAGCCTGATCTCGCCAACACACCTTACATTGATCCTGAAGAACAACCCTGCGTTATCTGCGAGTCATTGGCATGCATGTACGTCTGTCAAGCGGTGCCTTGCAGCCCGTTTATGCCGAAGACATTAAAATAGGTTTGGCAGTTTTCAACGGTGAAACCTGTCTCCGTACGAAGGATGTGGCTTGCACCTATTGCATTGATACGTGTCCTATTGGAGAAGATGCGATTCACCTCACGACAGATGGTGTTGTAGAGGTGATTGAATCCGGATGTACAGGATGTGGGGTGTGTCAGTATGCATGCCCAACTGCACCGAAGTCGATAGTCATTGAGCCGTATATGGCGCGAGAAATACTTGTGGATTAGGGTATATCTGATTGTATCAGGACTTACGCAAATTTAGCACGCTGCGCGAGGTTTTTTGATTTTTAACCCCCTAAATCCCCCTTATCAGGGGGACTTATACCCACTTAGCTTGATTAGAAGTCTTTTGATCAAGTGAGCCTTGCGAGGCACAGGGACCTCGCGCTACAAATGGGGTTAATTTGGTCTTATACCCACTTAGCTTGATTAGAAGATTAGCTTGATTAGAAGTTTTTTGATCAAGTGAGCCTTGCGAGGCACAGGGACCTCGCGCTACAAATGGGGTTAATTTGGTCTTATACCCACTTAGCTTGATTAGAAGATTATCTTGATTAGAAGTTTTTTGATCAAGTGAGCCTTGCGAGGCACAGGGACCTCGCGCTACAAATGGGGTTAATTTGGTCTTATACCCACTTAGCTTGATTAGAAGTCTTTTGATCAAGTGAGCATTGCGAGGCACAGGGACCTCACGCTACAAATAGGGTTAATTTGGTCTTATACCCAATTACTATAGTTTGGACAGTTTTTTGGATTTCCCTGTGAGTCGTTGGTTTCAACACAAGGGAACCGGTACCGCTATAAAGTGTATTTTCGGATACACCTTTCGCTCCCCTGGGGCTTTGACCCCGCCAGGCGCGCGGTCTTACACATTCGGGGTCTCCGCTGGGTCTGTGCTTTCTTAGAGACGCAATACCTTTTTCTCTGAGTTCGCGTGTCTGGGAAACTCACAGGAAAATAACCGAATATCGCCGATGCGCGTCCGTGTTTGTTAACAAGTCTATGCGCTGGAGGCACAGACTGACAGTCTATGCTACGGTAGAGGGCTCTCAGCGGAGACCTTTGCCTATTTCTAAAATTGTCCAAACTATAGTACCCACTTATCTTGATTAGAAGTTTTTTGATCAAGTGAGCCTTGCGAGGCACAGGGACCTCGCGCTACAAATGGGGTTAATTTGGTCTTATACCCACTTATCTTGATTAGAAGTTTTTTGATCAAGTGAGCCTTGCGAGGCACAGGGACCTCGCGCTACAAATGGGGTTAATTTTGTATATACCCACTTATCTTGATTAGAAGTTTTTTGATCAAGTGAGCCTTGCGAGGCACAGGGACCTCGCGCTACAAATGTGTAATTGGTCTTATACCCACTTATCTTGATTAGAAGTTTTTTGATCAAGTGATGCCTTGCGAGGCACAGGGACCTCGCGCTACAAATGGGGTTAATTTGTGTCTATACCCACTTATCTGATTAGAAGTTTTTGATCAAGTGAGCCTTGCGAGGCACAGGGACCTCGCGCTACAAATGGGGTTAATTTGGTCTTATACCCACTTATCTTGATTAGAAGTTTTTTGATCAAGTGAGCCTTGCGAGGCACAGGGACCTCGCGCTACAAATGGGGTTAATTTGGTATTACAAAGTAACTGCGTAAGTCCTATGTATATTGCACCATAGGTGTCAATTTAAGAAGAACCTCATCATAGACATCGTAGGTCCCATACGTTAGTCGCTATGGGACCCCGGGTTGAACGGACTCCATCAAACCCCCTGAAAAGCAATAGAAAAATGCGGTGCTCTCGATACATGTTGCATCAACCAGAGACCGAGTGAAACCTAACGTTTTCGCGGTTTCCGAGACTATGACGGTATGAAGTTGGGTTCACTGCGTTTTTGAGTGTATATCGCACCTTTTTGCAGGAAGTATGTCTGTACTTACACAAATTCTTATGCAGGGAGCAGTGGACGGGCAAAGTTTGCGCGACATCAAACCGCCACTGGAGGTGCCGCAATCCGTACTGCTCTATTTCATTGGTGGCGCGGCGATACTCGGGTTCATAACCGTTTCGGTGTGGTTCTATCTCCGAAAACGTCCGCAGCCCTTACCGGTATCCGAAGACGAAGAAGTAGCTGCACCACTACCGCACGCGGTGGCATACGAACAGCTGGCTGCGCTTGAAACATCCGACTTGCTAAAGCGTGGAGACATGGAG